TGCGCCCTGCTATGCGAATGCACCTGCATGGGCTGCGACGGCAGCGCCAGCGACGTGTTGACCGAGCGCTGTGCAATAGCCGGCGACGACGCCGCGTGCTGCGAAATAATATGATGCGACAACGTGGCCAGAGCCAAAGGCGTCGGCGTCGGCTCCTGGGCTGGCGGCTGCTTCTTCTTGCTTGGCTTCGGCTCCACCGGGTTTTTGCGTGGGCGGCCGCGCGGCCGCTTCACCACGCCAGTGGGCTGCTTGGGGGCAGGCGCAGGGGCAATCGGCGCAACCCCGGCGTTGCCGTTGAGCTCTGGCGAGTGTTCGGTGCGGCGCGCGGCGATCGGCGGCTCGGTGCGTGCGGGCGTTGCAGGCACATGCAGGAACTGGGCCGGCGTCGGCGCTGCCACCGAGGGCGGCGGCGGCGGTGCTGTGCGCATGCGCACCAGGCCGCTCTCGTCGGCATCGGCGCCGCCCTCGGAGATTGTCGGCAATGCGGGACGGTCGGAGTTGCTGCTTTTCCACTCCAGGTGCTGGTTGAGCCGGCGGATCTCGCTCAGAACCTCGGCCACTGCGTCTGGATTGCGTGCGGCCGACCAGCACAGGTCCGAGCACGCGGCCGACAGCTGCAGGAACAGGTTCTTGAACTCCTCGGTGGGCCCGCGGTAGCTGCCGTTTTCCTGCGCTTGCGTGGCCGCCGCCGCCGCCGCCGTTATGCTGGCCACGTCGCCGGTCCGCAGCGAGTTCGGCTGCGGTACCAGGGCGTCGTAGCGAGCCGCCAGCGAGTGGTTGTGCTCGAGCCGCAACATGATGATCTTCCACATGCCTGAGGCTTGCCGCGACGCCCGCGCCAGCCAGCGGCATCCGGTCTTCATGGATTTCCGGCGGTGTGCGCCCGAGTGCGCCAGGGACTTGTGCGAGGCCTCGGGTGTCTCGGCATCTGACCGGCCCACGCTGTCCTCGCGCTTCGCGTCCTTGCTACGCGGCACTCCCTCGGATGAACACACGATGTCGCGTTTGCGGATGGTCCCTTCCTTGTCGCGCTCCACGTCGTCTAGTCGCACATTGAATCCGTTCTCTACCGCGAATTGCCGCACATGCTGGATAAACGCGTCCTGCGTTGCAAACAGCTGCTCCGGAAAAAGCGTGCACTTGTCGTTGGACATGCAAATTATTAGCAAGGGGTGGGTAGGCTAATTCGGCTCTGAACCCTCGGGTGCCCGTGGGGGGTAGCTGGGGGGGTTCGATTAAAATTGCTATAAAGCGCTAGAAAATAAGTGTTGAAAATACACAAAAAAGCTGGCGTCCTTTCTGACCAGGCCGGGGTGTGCCTTACCCGCTGCGCCTGCCCCCCTCCCCAAATATAGCAGCCCTGTCCTCCATCCTGACTGCCCCTGCGAGCCGGTCCCGTGATCAATTGCTCCCACGAGCTGCATATCCTGAGTCGACTGCCGGCAACACACTCTCACGCTATCGCACTGCTGCACTGTTGCACCGTCACCACCCTCCAGCTCACACCCTCTCACCGCCCTCGCTCTCACAATGTCCCTAGCACGCCCCTCGTCGTCTCTCATCATCACTGCCCCCTGGCGGGCAGCAGCATCGCCCTACAACTACCGCATCCTGATGGCCAAGCGCGTCAGCAGCGGCAGCTTCGAGAACGCCTACGTGTTTCCCGGCGGCGTGGAGGAGCCCAGCGACTCGCAATGGCACATGTCACCACACAAGGTCTGTGCGCTCCGCGAGACCTTCGAAGAAACAGGCATTCTGCTCGCCTCGCCCACATCGACGGCCAGCCCGGGCCAGGACTTTTTCTCCCAGTGCTCCACCCGCACGCCCCTGGATATCCGCCAGATTGGCCGGTGGGTGACGCCGCGCGAGCAAAAGAAGCGCTTCGACACACGCTTCTTTTTGCTGTCGGTGCGGGATGCCGATACGGAGATTCTGGGTCAGATCAAGCGCGCCAGCGTGCAGGAGTCTGAGCTGGTGCGTCTGGACTGGCTCACACCCGGCGAGATCCTGGAGACCAACAGAGGCGCCACGCTGCCGCTGTTTCCACCGCAGTTCTATATTGTCAGCGAGCTGAGCAGGTGGCGCAGATGGCAGGACCTCGGTGCGGATCCGCTGGCGCTGGGCGACCCCGATAACCCTATCGAGCCGCTGCTGATTAAGCACAATGGGAACATGGTGTCGCTGTTCCCGGGCGACTGCGCCTATCCGAGAGGCACTGAGAGAACCCCAAGCGCCAGTCTGGATGACTGTGACGGCCCGTTGCATCGTGTGGTGATGAAGAGAGCCAAGACCGGCGGATTCGTCCAGTGCGATCTCCAGAAGCGCCTTGGTGTGAGTGCGCCAAAGCTCTGACGTGTGCCTTCGTTTCCCCTGTTTTTGGCCGAATCATGCGATTCGGATCCTCCCTCTCCAGCAGAGGCGTCATTGAGTACCGCCCTGCTTTATACAGCCCGCGGATCGGCACTGTGCCATGCGTCGGCTTCCTTGCACATGTAGTGAGACCTGCCTTCTATTTTTGCCGAGAGGTGTTGGGTTGCTGGCGATAAAAATAATGAATCTGCCAAAATAAACACTCTTCATCACCGAGTAACAGGCACGCAGCGCTATCAAATCACCTGGAGGCCTACTGACGCCTTCTCTCCTCCACTGTTTGCATGCACTTCTTTTCTACCACCTGCTCTTACTTGTAACCATGCGTCTGCCGTTCAGCCGTAACAAAAAGTCAAAAAAGCCTAACGAGTCCTTTGACAAACTGCCAGGCGACGATGCACACTCCTACGTCTCTGACGGCAGCGACATCGCCAATGACGGGACCGCCCGCGACTCCTCCAAACCCAACCTCGACGACACCGCCGGGCAGCCGGTGCACAGCTCGACCAGCCGGCAGCGTGGGCTGTCAAACGGCAGCATCGGGTTCTCAGTGACCAGCGTCGGACGGCCGATATCCACCGTGCTATCGAACCAGCTGCACTCGCCCTCACACGATCTGCAGCTGGCGCAGCTTGAGGAGGAGCTGGATACGATCATGGACGAGATGGGTCTGGAGGGCGAGCAGCGGATGAGCATGAAGGCGATGCCGGTGGACAGCAAGCTGCAGTTGATCCAAACGCACAAGATGACGAGCCACGCCCAGAAGCTCATCACGCCGCTGTCGGAGCACCTGAAGATTCTGACCAAGGCCGGCACGCAGTCGCTGCCACGGTCGCGGCTGGAGAAACTGCGCGTGGATATTTCGTACCAGAGCGTGCAGCAGATCCGCGGCTTCATCGATGACGGCGGCCTGAAGGTACTGCTGAGCCATTTGGTGCAGCTCAATAGCCGCAAGACTGCGCTCCGCCGCCAGGACGAGCTCATGAAGGAGCATGAGCTGCTGAGGTGCATTCTGGGTGCGATCAAGGTGCAGGCGGGTGCCGAGTATGTGACCGACGGGACATCGCACCTGCGCCATATCCTGAACTCGGTCGATCCGCGCTGGCTGCAGTGCTCGACCGTGGCCCTGCGCATTGTCTGCTATCTGCTGCAGCTGCAGAGCCTCGAGTGCTCGGACGCCGTGGTGGCTGCATTGTTCCGCAGCGACGACCTGTCGGATCCCAACAATAAGCGCTCGGCCTTTGTCGCCTGGATGGAGACCGTGGAGACCGCGGCTGGCGAGTACAGTGTGGCTCAAGGCAAGGACCTAGTGGCCGAGTCGAATATCGTCGAGTTCATGTCATACACGCTGATGCTGATTGGGGCACTGCTGGACAACAACCACGAGGATCTGGCCCTGCGGGTCAAGCTATACAGCAAGTTTGGCGACCACGACATGTTTGCCCTGTTCAGTTCGCTCAGGAGCTGGGGCGTGTCGGTCATTGACTCGCATCTGAACCGCTGGGACGAGGTGCTGCGCCGCGACTACAACATCGCGCGATCGATGAAGCCTGGCCAGATCCTGATGGAGAACAGCCGAGACAGCTCGGTCATAGACAGCTCAGCATTCAAGACCTTTGTGGAGCGATACGAGAGGGCTAGGGATGCCCACCTCATCGACCAGTCAGACGACGATGCCGACAGCTACCTCAACATGAACGTGTCCACATATGCGATCCCGACGGCCAATAGCAAGACCACCTACGAAATGCCCGCGGCCCGGTTCGACTCGACACGCTCGGTCCCACAAGTCTCGCACAGCGACCACCCCTCGCCCAGCAACAACAACCCGTTCTTCCACAGCCTGAGCAACTCACCGCGGCCGCTCTCGACGTCGGCGGTCGACGAGAGCCAGGACGTGGAGGCGCAGAGGGCGTTCCCGTTCACCATGCACAACCGCAGCCGCTCGAATGTGGCGGAGACCGGGAGTCTCCGGGCACTGCGGGCGCCGGGCGCGTCGCCGGGCCCAAGAGCTGCCATTCCACCGATGACCCCGGCCAAGAGCCCGGCGGGCCCTGTGGCATTGGCGAAGAGCGCAAATGTGCTGCTGCAGAAGTCGCTGGCAGCCATTGCGAACGACGGCAAGGGACTAGCGCTGGGCGAGGCAAAGGAGCTGTATCGCGAGTTGCTGGCAATCTCGCAGGCGACGCAGGAGCTGCTGGATACCGTGGATCTGGCAGAGTTCAGCAGCAAGCAGTAATGGACTAATCCTGGTCACCCATCATCGCTGTAACCTCGCTGGCCCTGCTTTTGAAGCACTTTAGCCCGCTTTTCTCTCTTTGCAAATTTTCATTACTTTTTTCCTCGTTCTAATTCCAGTTTCTTTTTTTTTTTTTTTTTCATACAGATGGCAGGCAAGGCTGTAGATTTGGACGTCGATGACATGGACTTCCCACTGCCAGAGCAGCAGTCGCGCGCGTTCCCGGCCGAGGGCATCCGTATCGGGCAGAGCCTGGGTGGAGTGAAGTTCGTGAACGACGAATCGCGCTTCAAGCGGTGGGTATGCCTGTACCCGCTGTACTTTGACAAGGCGCGCTCAGTGGAGCAGGGCCGCAAGGTGCCGCAGTCGTTGGCGGTGGAGCAGCCGTTTGCGCGGCAGATCGCAGCCGCGGTCAAGGAGGTCGGCTTCAACGTGTGCTACGAGCCGGGCAAGATGCACCCGCGCGATTTCTTCAACCCCGGGCGCGTGCGCGTGCAGCTCTTTGACGAGGAACACCGGCCGGTCCGCCATGACATCCAGACGCGCAAGAAGCTGATGCGCTATGTGGCCGAGAGAATGCCCCACGTCAGTGCCGAGCGCGAGAAGGAGCCGACGCTGCAGGATCTGATTGACTCGGGTGCCATGCCTGTGTTGCCTGGCATGCCGCCGCCCGGCGCCAACAACGACGAGGAGGAGCCGGCTGCGCAGCCCAAGCCTGGCAAGCAAAAGAAAAATAAGAAAAAGGGAAAGGCGAAGCATCTTGTTTGAAGAATACACATGACTATGAATGCACGTTGGTGATGCGCCAGTTGCCTGGTGTGTATATGTACACTTTGTTGTCCGGTGACGGGCCCGGGGGCGGCGACGGCGGGAATGTCACGGTGTATGACGTGGTGGGCTGTTCATCGTAGTAATGGTGGTGTTTGACCACAGTCTTTGCGGGCTTTCTGGCAGGCTGTTCGCTGTGGTGGTGGTGGTGATGGTAGTGCTTGACCACAGGCCGCTTGGGTTGCGCAGTGCTGTCGGATTTCGGGAACAGCGAGAACCTCTCCTTGGGCTTGTCCTTTTTGCGCGCCGTAGTACATTCATATACGTCGTAGTGCGACTTGACAGTGCACTGGTGGCCGTTGGTAGGCGCACAGTCGCAATGCGTGCAGACGGTCAGCGGGGTCTTGTAGCGCCAGTACTCGCCATAGCGCCTGTCGCGCTCGGCGCAGTGGGGGCAGCAGTGGGCTGCGGTTGCCGGCTTGCCGAAAAGCTTGTCAAAGAATCCCATGGCAGGAAAAATGGTAAAATGAAATAAAAATCAAGGAGCGAAGGCGAAGAACAACGCGGCGAGGTGTTTCGAATAAAAATTTTGACAGTAAATCGTCAAAGCGCCAGGACTGCACGTCAGTTCCCGGGTGCATGCTTTGCACAGCGGCAGTTTAATACAGCATGCACCCCTTTGGTGCCAACTGCACAAAGCAATTGCCCAATATCGCTTTCTGTGGTGATGTACATACCTGGTGTCCGAGATCAAGGCACAAATAGCAAGTCATGCGGATTGATCGGTTGATTTTCAGATTCCTGCGATGCTCGCCGTGATTTTCCATTTATCTCCAGGCTGCATCGCAATTTTTCAGCTAGTCTTGCCTCCATTTCCTCTCGTTCCATTTCTAAAAAAAATTCACCACAGTTGTTTGAAATCATGTCGTCGTTGCTTGCGCGTTTAACCGGCCGGGCAGCCTTCACCATGGCCCGCAGCATGTCGACAGAGGCAGCAGCCGCCACCGAGAAGGTGGGGCGGCAAATTGCCATTCCGCGGCCGCGCGGGCAGTTCGACAGCCCGGCGACGTTCCTCCAGACGATCGGACGCGGGTGCGAAAAGTTCACAGACAAGTTCCGCGACTGGGACCATTTGTTCCGCGCCGACTCGCTGGCCATGAAGAAGGATCTGGGCATCGGACCCAAGCAGCGGAAATGGATCCTGATGTGGACCAACAAGTACCGCATGGGCATTGATCCGTATCTGATTGAGCCCAGCAAGAAGCACTCGATGAAGCGCGTCGACAGACTGGCCAGGGCCAAGAGACGCGGACGCAAGTGAAGGGATCTTTCAATAGCTCGCCTAATGTTTCTTGCCAAAATGCCACTAGCGTATATCCACAATTGTTTTGATCGCCAGTGTGTGCGATGGTGGCACTTGTCTGGGTGCCAAAGTGCCCTTCACGTCACACCTCTTCTCCTGTTTCCACCCGGAAAACTTTTTTCTTCTACTTTTTGGCCCTCTAATCGCAATAGCACGCTTTTCTTGTATACCGAGCACAGGAGAGAACCCCACAGCTGCCGCTATAGCCAGTACACCCGCGTATTTCTTTTTCCACGAGCAGCGCAAACCCGCAAATGCTAAAGTTTGAGAATTCGTTCTGGGACAATCCAGGGCCAGGACAGCAGCCCCGATATGAGCGGGGGCCCCAGCGGCTCTACGAGAAGCTCGAGCAAGGCTCCAGCGAGTGCGACGAGCTCCTTTCCTTTCTGCGTGACCGCGTGATGATCGAGGAAGCGTATGCCAACAGCCTGCGCCAGCTGTCCGAGCGGCGGCTGTCCCCCAAGGGCTTTGGGCGCGACGAGGGCGCCACGCTCAAGACAGCGTACCGCGGGCTGGTCGCCGAATGCATGGCGCTCTCTGAGACCCATGCCGATTTGGCGCTGGAGCTGACCAACACTGTGATCATGCCCCTGCGGAATTTCGCCACCGAGCACCGCGCCCGCGTGCGCTCGTCGTGGAAGATTATCGACGACACGGTCAGGCGTGCATCGGCCGAGATTAACCAGGTCGACAGGAACCATCGCGTCTATACGCAGAAGGCCGCCATTGCTGAGCAGATGCGCCTGAAGGAGAGCCCGTCGGCGATGCAGCCGCCGGCTGGGTCCGATGTCTTCGAGGTGAAGCCGCGGCCCAGCATGAACCTGCCCACGGCGGAGGCAGCAGCTGCGCATGCGGCCGATGTGGCGCGCTCGGGGGCTGAGCCACTGTCGCCCATGGATGGACGTGTGCTGTCGTCGAGCGGCGATATCGGCGTGATCCACTCGCCGGTTCCGCCAGTGCAGGGTGAGCTAGATGTGGCCAGCATTGTGCTCGGCAACGTCGCCCTGACCAGGCACGAATTCCACGTCATGCTGCAGCGCATGCAGACCGAGGTGCAGCAGCACGACGTCAGATTTGGCATCCTTGGTACATTCCGCGGGTTGATTTCCGGCGAGAGCCTTGCTGGTTGGTGGTGCACCAACTATCCGACTGTGGTGCGCAACGAAGTCGACGCGATCTCGGTCGGCCAGAGCATGATGAATCAGGGGTATCTGCGCTTCATGGGTCGTGGCTCGCAGTTCCAGTCGCGCTCCAACGCTTACTACCAGTGGAAGAAACCGGCGCTCGAGTTCCAGAGCGACGACGACTATGATAGCGACGATGAGCCGCTGGGCAACCGCCGCCCGTTCATGGGCAAGGTCATGACGTACGAGCGGGCGCAGCGCGAGGCTGACGAGGCCAGCTCGATCTACCGCGATTCGGCTGTGCGCGCAGAGCTCCTGCGCACGGACCTCGAAGAGGGCCTGACAAACTACCTCGAGACGATGGAGGTCTGGGAGCTCAACCGCCTGATGAACATGAAGAGCACCATCAGCAGCTATGGCAAGGTCTGCAAGCTGCCAGTCCAGGCAGAGCTCTCGATCGCCGACCGCCTGGAGGTCTATGAGGAGAGCATCAAGCCGCAGCAGGATATCCAGTGGGCTATCGAGCACTACGGCACGGGGCGATTCACCCCACGGCCGATTCTGTTCCGCCCCTTCAGCCTCAGCCCGGCCGAGTACCAGATCTTTGGCGTGCCGCTCGACGAGCAGCTAGTGGTCTCACACAAGGACATCCCGCTGTTCCCAGCTAAGGCCCTGAGTCTGATCCGCAAGGCGTCACGGGACATGGAGCCCGCAGACCGGTACAAGATCTGGACCACTCGCACGCTGCTGAAAAACATCCACGAGCTGCGCAACGGCGTCAACCGCGGATCGCGCGTCACACTGAAGCAGCTACGCGAGTACGACCTGGCCGTAGCCGCCAACACTCTAGTTCTCTACCTGCTTGAACTGCCCCGCCCGCTGTGTCCTGACGAGATTTACGACCCTCTGCGTGCCGTCTACGGTTCGCGCAGCGAAAAGGACAGCTCGCTTGACGCACTGCAGTCCATCAGCCACTTGTTGCAGGGCATCAGCTACGCGCACCTGAGGACATTGCAGGTCCTGTTTGCTACCATCAACGAGCAGATCCAAGGCGATGTAAGCCCTGAGCGGGAGGAGTTTGTGCGTGCAGTCAGCCAGCGCCTTGGCCCAGTTATCTTGCGAGCACACGAAATCGTCGGTGTCACCGTCAACCGCTTGCCGGAGCACTTTGCCCGCGACCTGATCGAAAACTACGATGTCATTTTGGCCAACATCCAGATCGAGCGGCCAACCAAACCCACAGAGCAGCCCATCAAGACCCACGAGGACGTAGACGAGCTCACCCGCAACATGGCTTCTATGGACACCGGTGCTGCTGGCAGCAGTGCTGCTGCAGTCGTTGGGCCATCAGCTATAGCATCGCCGCGGGTATCGCTGGAGAAGCCGCGCGCGTCCCTTTCGGCAGACGATGCCCAAAAGACAAAGCGGTCGTTTGACGATGACGAAATCTCTGTTGACAGTATCTTGGAGGATACGAATGATGCCAACCACAACTCAGAGAGCATGGATTACTTCCTCAAGGACGAGGACTCCGACGGTACCGACGATGACGACGATGACGACGATGACGACGATGACGATGACAAGGACATTTAAACTACACTTTTTTCTTATCTCTTTCCAAACTACATGTCTATTCAGCTCTTTTCTACTTTGCTTGAGGCAACACATCGAGTAGCTTTTGTCGAGGATGCAAGGCGTCATCAAGAGCCGACCAGTCTGCGATCGGCGAGTCGTTTAGCGACCAATTTGGCGATGCTTGGCGTTTGAGCCAGTTGAAATCGTCCACCTTGTCAAACGAATTCGGGATGCCTTTCAGCCCTGACCTTGCAAACTCCTCCTCCATGGCCTTCGATCCGAACTCTGGGTATGGCGCAAACCGGATCTCCGTTGACTTCTCAATGATCGGATGGCTGGCGCAGTACAAATACACATCGATATTCCGCGAGTTCTCCATGCGGAACTGCCGCACGCCAATGATGAAAACGCAATTGTTGGAGTCGCGGATCGTTGTCGAGCCCGCAAATGGCCCACATATAACGATGCTATTTTGGAGTCGACGGCAATTCAGTGCGCGTAGCGAGCCGCCAATGCTGCGCAGATCCACAACACTCTCGGAGATGTCGCGCAGCTCGCCGTCAGTTGATGCGTTCGCAGCTGACCGTGGCTCGGCAACCACCCACTGGTCGGCAATATCCTTGAACACGTACGAATCCGAACTATCAGTGCTACTCGCCGCCTGCTCTGGCTGCGGCCTCTCGGCCTTCTTTGGCTGCACCTTGCTCGTAGTCGTTGCCTTCTTGAACTTGAACCCGAACCGCTTTGTTTCGCTTTGCTTGTGCAGCAGTGCGCGCAGCTCCTCCAGGTCCTTGGTCAAGTGCTTCTGGTCGTATGCGGGCAGGTATATGTTTGCCTCGCGCAAGGCGATATCCAGCTGGCGGAGGCGCTGGGCTGCTTCGGATCTGTCGCTGGTGATTGTGGACTTGATCGTAGCGTACTCGGCACGGAAGTGCTCGTAGAACTTTCCTGCCGCTGAGGCGTTCACCATGCTGCCTGCAGATGCCATGGCTGTTTTTCACACAGGTTTTATGGATGAGGAACCTAGAAAGATATAAATAGGCTGTGGCAGTTGCTATCGTTGCCACTTTTGCGGTCCGGATTTGTACTTTGCTGTTGGGTAAGCCAGGAAAATGGGATTGTCTGTGGGAGCAGCACCTTGTTGCTGAAAATAGCGCTTGGCCATGGGCAGATATGTGAAAGTGCCGTCAGCACCAGAGGAAGACAACCGGCTAAGCAACGTGTAGTGCGCTTCGACAGATTGCCAAGTCTACTTTAGCCGTCTACAGGATGCAGCTTACCATTTTAGTATCTTGTGCTGCAGCCCATGAGCAAAAGGTTCGCCAGACATTGTCAGAGAGTTTTGGATACTTGCAACCCTGTCGTATATATTCTAGAATATAAAAGCTGGCATGTCAAGTATAGATATTTTTAGAATGGTCCAATATTCCTATGTTGCTTCTATGGTTATCGCAGATGATGTTGGCATCTTGGCTCGGCCACAATTAGGTTAACTT